CAAAAGAATTATATCTGAGTTCCAGGTGGTGGCTTATCACGATTGGCCTGAAGTCACAAAGTATGCTGGGATAGTTTGTGCTCAAGCTCATAGTCAGGAGCTCATTCAAGATTTATTCAAACAATGGCAGGATCCTGTAAGAGGGACAGTGTTTGGTGGAATGATCAAGTATGTCTGGATTTACTATTGTAGTTCAATTTGCGGAGCACAACTTGATTAGCTAACGATCTCTTTTGTTTTGGATTTTTGTGGTTCAGAGAACTTTTCATATCCTTCCGTAGAGCAACTGGGCATAAGCCACAGCGCATTATATTTTACAGGTATTGCCATATTCTTATTCTACTACTCGTTGTTTTACTATATTCTTTGCTGCCTTTTAATGAATTAATTTATATTTTCAGGGATGGGGTTAGCGAAGGCCAGTTCTATCAGGTGCTTCTGTATGAACTTGATGCTATTCGGAAGGTGAAACAACTTTTCTGCATAAAGTTTCCCTAACTCCAAAGTTATATGTTGTTGTTCATCTGCATCTGTTGCTCAAATTTATGAGCTGTGCACTTCCCTTTTTTTCAGGCATGTGCCTCTTTGGAACCAAACTATCAGCCCCCTGTTACTTTTGTTGTGGTTCAGAAGCGTCATCACACAAGATTGTTTGCCAATAACCATTCTGACCGCAATGCGGTTGACAAGAGTGGGAATATTTTGCCTGGTAACAAACTCGGTTGGATGATTTAAGAGTGTTCGATGTTGTATATCTGTTTTGCTGAGGTGACACATGTTAATATATCATCCTTCTATATGTGCAGGTACAGTAGTGGATTCCAAAATATGTCATCCAACTGAATTTGACTTTTACCTATGCAGCCATGCTGGCATTCAGGTTGAACCCTGATCTTTTCTTCTAATAATTTGATAATATAAATATAAATTGTAGTTTTGACTATTGCTAAGCATCTTCTTATTAATGCAAAACTTGATCATAGGGCACAAGTCGGCCTGCTCACTATCATGTGCTATGGGATGAGAATGAGTTCACAGCGGATGCATTGCAGTCCCTCACAAACAATCTGTGCTACACGTAAGTCTCCATCTGTCTGATACAATTTGAATATTTGATTTGTCTTATTGCATACCGAAAATATTAAATAAGCAGTTTTAGATGTGCTGATACACTAATGCTGGATAGGATATTCATTATACTTTCACATATGATTTTGCTACGGATTATCTTCAGATGAAAAAATTGGTCCTGATGTTCTTTTAACTGAAGAATCAGGATGCTAATGCTTCTATATACTTGCAGGTATGCAAGATGCACTCGATCTGTTTCAATTGGTTAGTTAATTCTCCCTTGAAATAATTTTTGTAAACATTTTTTTTATTTGGTGTATAAATTTATAATGCAAGTAAAGTTCCTTTTCTCAACCTTCATTTTTCAAATGGACAGTGCCTCCTGCATACTATGCCCATCTAGCTGCATTTCGAGCTCGTTTCTATATGGAACCGGAGACATCGGACAGTGGTTCAATGACAAGTGGCACTATTGCTGCACGAGGTGCAGGTGCAGGTGCAGGTGCAGGTGCAAGAAGCATGCGGGGACCCAGTTCCAGTGCTGCTGTGAGACCCCTACCCGCCCTCAAGGAGAACGTCAAGCGAGTCATGTTCTACTGTTAAAGGAGTCATGAAACCTGAACTCTTTAACTTAAACTATTATCGCAATCGCTTTTGCTCTAATTGGTTGGTTGTGAAAGAATATTTGTGTATCTCATAACATTACAATTGCTTCAAAAAAACTCCCTTGTGTGTGTAAGATTGGGATTTGTATCCTGTCCTGATCCCTTGTGATCTTGAAACTCATGGAACAGCGAACCTTTAAACCTTTAATTGAATTTGGAAGGTTTCAGATGAATCTGTTGGGGAATAGCTGCTTAAGAGTAAATGTTGGCTTTTGGTTTCTTCCTCGGCTAGCTGAAAGGTCAAGGCTGAGCTGAGTTACCACTAAAGCAAGCTAATAAATGGTGCTATTGTCATTGAGAAGGGTATACAGCAATAGGAGATGGCTATCCAGGTAAGTCCACCGTGATCTTACTTATTTATATCATGATGTGGTTTTATAGACAATGCAGCAATGATGTGTGAGCAATATACAAATTATTGACCATATCATGTCAGCCGCGTGTGTATGTATATATGTATACATATATACATATGAAGAAAAGAATGTCAAAGGAGAGATGATAAAGCGGCATTATATAATGTATTAGTTAATGTGGTACATCTTATCTTTTTAACTTAAATTTATGTAAATAATTAAAGTAGTCTTTTTGAAATCCTATTAAAATTTTTTACTAATTTAGTGACTGCTGAATTGGTGATTAAAAAGACTAAATACATAATTTAAATGATTTTCATTTTAATTTTTGGAGCAATGTGATAAATTTTTTTTTTATGTAAGTCTTCAGTTTAAATTAAAATTAAATAACATTTTTTTGAAGTTCCTATAATTTTTTTACCAATTTTAACGAATGCTATTTAAATTATTTTTCATTTAACTCAGAATTATTATCGTATAGTATTTTATATAACAAAATTCTTTAAATATATGTGCAAATTACTAAAAAGAAAAATATTGATTATATAATGTTTTTAAACATATTGTTTTATTAAGTGATTATTTTTACTCGCAGAGAGTTTATTGTAAATAATAAATATCAGAATTTGTTGATTCAATAGAATGAGACTAAATAAATTATAAACTACATACATATACTGTGGTCCGCGATTGTGCAGGCTGTAGAGTTTTTGAATCTTCACCCTAAAATTATGGTAATATTGAATATTAAACAGTTTTCTTAATAAAATTTTATAAGTGAAATATAGCAAATATTTTATATATTCTAACACTAAATAAATATGATTTAAATGTATAAAGATCTTAGGATG